CCTCCAAGTGAGGCCTATCGCAGTATATTTTTCATTGTCTGGGCCGGGGCTCCTCCGATGCACGCGTCTCCACTGCGTCTACGTTGCTTCCCGTGAAACTGTGATTTGCTGTCTCGTTGAGAAGTTTGCGGCCAAGAGTGCCAGTCGTCTAGACCGACCGCTGCGGGCTTGTAAAAGATGTGAAAAAAGATCTTCTGCCAAAGGGAAATGTAAGGAATGCTTTGATGGGCATGTCTCTCTGCTTCATCCACTATTCATAAGACGTGTGACGCTACCATGGCAGCCCAAACACTTCCTCTCTCATATTCGTCTTCGGGCGGGTGAAAATTTACCTGCAGTCCCTTGAGAGTAGTCAAAAAGCCAAAGCCAAAGAAAAATGGGCTTGCTTTCTATTCATTCGAACATTCAGACATGAGAACTGCTCAGGAAATATTGTAAATCAAATGATCGGCATTAAAAAACCTGTACAGGGGACGATAAATTTTGTTGCGTTGTTCCCACTAGTTAACTTATTTTAATTTAAAAAAATGAAGTTGCGAATGCTGAATTAGATCCACATTTCTGTGTGTCATGTGATCACCAAGCACTGGGGGGGGGGGGGGCTTGTTCCAAACGAAGTCATATATATATTTTGAAAACCTCCCTTGGCAGCAAACGTGATTCTCCATGAGAATATATGCAAGGAGACAGCCTGAGTTCTGCCTCTTTGTAAAAGTGTAAACATATAAATCACAGAATGACATTTTGTCATTTGTCAACTCTAATTAATGGGTACAAGATGATAACTCTCGCAAAACTGCAGGGCGGGTGTTCCTTTCAGCCACCATTTTAGGGCTATACTTTCCACTTCACACCAAAAGCCTGATCAAAATCTAATCACAATTTGAAAAAAAAAAAATCCCTCCTTTTGAAATGCACTCGTTCCTTGAAAACATTTTTTTTCGTGCAGCAAAGGAAAAGGCGAAAGTGTGGCGCCTTTCTGGAAAATCAGTGACGAATATAAACAGGCTGTGTGCCGAGTGCACTCTTGACCCCGTCGGCCACATCAACTAATGACATTTGGAGTATTTTTAATCGGTAGCAAACGTCATAATAGGCCCCATTTGACGCAAGTGCTGTGGTTAAACACTGTTGACACGCGTCAAAGAAAAAAAAACTCAGTCATTTATTCAAATTTATACGCAACATCTCCCCTCTCGCTTTCTGTGTTTGTGCTGGAGAGATCATGCGTGCTGTGATCTGGTTTAATGGCACGCTGGCAAAAGGCTCCTGACTTTGTTTTCCCTCCAGAACGAATTAAAACAACTCCCAGACACTGACGTGCGGCTTTTCCTCCACCCACACCCACGCCGTCAGACGCGCAAACAACCCAAACACGCCACACATATTCCAAAATACCACAACAACACACGTAGCACGTAGCTAGCTTTTTTGTAGTTTTAACTTTTTTTTTTTTTTTTTAATTGTAATGAGGTCTTATGGAGACGATGGAAGAATACTTCTCCAACAAGATCTCTAAAATGATTCTGATGTGTTATCACCTAAATATGACATCGATGTCAATTATTCGCAGAGTTTCACTGCTGCAGCGTCCAAGGCAAACACTTCTGGAAAACCAGCGCAGAGTCCAAATGACTAAAAGCCAAACTTTGGACCTGCAAAAGTGCACACAGAGACAGCCTAACACGCTGTCACTCAGACCTCCACCCCGAACTGGGGGACTGTATATGATGCGCCCACCCCAAGAAGGTTCCTAATCGGTGTTTGCATACCTGCACGCTGGCGCCTCCTCCCCCCTTCCTCCCTCTCCCTCACTCACCCACTCTGTTGCGCACATAGCCCCTCCCTCCCTCAGTCTCAGTGCAGCAGTTCACAGGAAGCGGCCCAGCTGTCAGTGACTTTTGCCTATACACACTCACGCCTGCTCTCGGTTCTTCAGTGACTGCCGAGGGACGTGCTGGAGGGTGCGCCCGGGGATTGAGTGCGCCAGTAGCGTCGAACCATCCAGTGATGCCTCATCCAACCTGGAGAGAAGGCTTATAGTCAACTCGTTCTTCTTCCCTTCTTCAATAATGAGAAAAGACCGTCTCTTCTTGGCCGTAACCCTCACCGCCATCTTCTCCGCCGACCTCTACTTCATCCTCTTGCCGAAGCTGCGGAACGCCGGAGAAGGATCAGGACGCTTTTGTTCGTGCCGCCGCAGCAACTTCAGCCTCGCCAGTCAGTTCTCCAACTGGACTTCTTTGACGCTCCAGGACCTGGACCCTTCTGGACGCGGCAATGGGAGCTCCAAGCTTGACGGGTTGTTCACCCATCCTCTGTATAACATGGAGAACCCCACGGTGGCCCCAGCGGAGAAGCTGCTGCAGTTGGACCAGCTGATGGACTACTACAGGAAGAAAGTGTCACGATGGGAAAGGTCAGCTTCTGTTTTCTTTAAAATATTTTTATCCCTTGTTAAGAAGGTATTACGACTCACTAAAGACCTATTTTAAGGTTTAGTGAAGAATCTCTGCTGCATGGGTTGCAAATGGTACTGAATCAGAAAGAACATAGTTCTCTCTCATTCTTGCGAAAGGGGCAGAGTTACTGATTTTTACGGCCGCTCAACCCAACACGCACAGACGGCCAGGAGTATAAATACACTTTGGCATCGGTAACAGATGCGCTCCCGCAGCTGTAAAATCGCAACAGACAATAGCGAGTGTTTGCTTTGGGGCAAAGCGATTAAGGCAACACTCACGCGTCAGTCCGGTGCATATCGCAAACGTGTTATTCTGAGATCCCACGTCTGGCGCGCTTGAAGGTGAAAAGGTTTTGAAAGAAGCGACGGACCCCCATCTTCGTGTGCGGGAGACAAAAGAAGCTGTCTTGGCTTGAGACGCTGCTCTGACTGCTCGTGCAGCAAGATTGGGAGATTTTTGGACCCTTGAGCTGGAAAAGGAGAAGAATTATGAGCAGTCAAGCTTTACTTGATGGCTATTTCCACTTTCTCTACTGCTGTTTAAAGCAACAAGATGTGGTTAGGGTGCCTTCAAATGACTACTTCAAAATCAGTTTGACGCAATGCAAGAGAATATCATCTCGATCATTGACGTGGTGAAATGGCAAAATTAATTCTCTTTTTCTTTCATCTTTGTGTCAAATATTTCCGGCACTGCACGTTCGCCACGCGACGCGTCCTCAGACACATGAAGCTCTACAACGAAGCTGTAGCCGCTTCCAACATCACCGTGACCGACTACCAAGTGGCCTTCGACCCGGACGCCAACTGGCTCAAGTTCCACGCAGGAATAAGCCGCCACGCTCTGTACTCCCGCAGTGACCCCGCTATCGCACGGCTGCTCCTGGACATGCGCGACATGACAGTGATCAACTCAGGTGACGCGTGGACTACGTTTGCAAATTCTCACTTCTGAAATTCAAACATGATTGTAATGATGGAAATTGTTCTAGATTTCACTCAAGATGAGAAGGCCCTGAAAGGAACGTGTGACTGCAGCCAAGGTAAGGTCAGTTCAAGCTTTTCACAGTCACCTCATGTGCATTCAAAGTTTATACATTTTTTTTAATCCTTTGCAAAAAAAACTAAACAAAAACAAAAAACGCCAGAAAGAGCAGTACAATGTCCACATTCTATTTAATTATGTCATTTTTGTATGTTATATGAAGTATAATATTATAGGGTGCTATTAGTCCTTTTGAAAAACAAAGTTATCACCGCATAGTTAGTTTCACAAATATCCTCCAGCTCCAACGCTTACAAATACTCCCCACTATTGACACTAATCTGGTTTATCAAGTTTCTAAAAGTGACCCCTCTTCGAAGAAATTTTAGGGTAATGGTTGCTGTCTATCTATCCAGTGGTGAAGCCCAGTGGACACCACCTGAAACTGGCGCTGAAGATGCAGAACTTTGGCAAGGCCATGTTCAAGCCAATGAGGTGAGCTCACGTCTTCTGAGACTCATCGGCCATCTTCACGAGCGCTCCTGTAAATTATGTTTTCGTGTGCGGGTATCAGGCAGCAGAGGGACGAGGAGACTCCAGAAGACGTCTTTTTCTTTGTCGATGTCCAGAGACACAATGCAGAGATTGCTGCGTTTCACCTGGACAGGTACAGAACCTGCACACACATTTTCCCATGCAGTTCTCTTCATTTTAACAGCACAATAGCTGAGGCAGCGTGAATAACTTAAGTACAGTCATGCTGACTAGACGTTATCATTAAAGCACTTAACATAAGGATGTAAAGCATCAATTCGGCACCAGACAACAACAAAGATGTCACAAAAGAAAAACAATCTATTATTGTCATTTTCTGAGTGCAGAGGGGGTCAATTCATATCGGAATTTTGTTCATGTTTCAAAAGAGAACCGTCCTCATTTTAAAACGAGAGGATAAAACAAAAAGAAACGAGGGTTAATTTAGAGAAGTGACAGATTTTTTTGTGTGTGAATTACTGTTAGGATCCTGGACTTCCGAAGAGTTCCACCGGTAGTTGGCAGGTTTCTGAACCTCACCGGCGAAGTTCTCCAAGTGACCCGAAATGACGACCTTCGGGCTGTCTTCTTCACCTCACCTGGTAATAAATAAATAAGAATCATTTGGTGGTCTAGTGTAGCGCTCAAAATGTAATATATATATGGATTTCGCTGACCTTTATTCAAGTTGACGGACACCTTTGATCTCGACTTCTTCTTCGATTATGCCGGATTTTTCGTTGGGGAATTGGCGTCATCTAGTGGGCAAATAACAGAAATACATCTAGATCGACGGAACGAACGTTTGTCTTTCAATAAGACAAATATTAGAAAAACAAATTTACTCGACGGATTTGCCAAAGAGCACCCATCCTTATGCAAAGGACAAAGAAGCATAAATTATGGAAGTGAAGCAGGTCACATGAAATAAAGCTGGATGTAAAATCAGATAGAATTTGATGTATCACACTGCTCTTCGGCATTGAAACAATACCAGTCTTTTGTCTCCTCTCCTCTCATTGCAGCAAACAACACTTGTTTTTTCGCCAAATGCCTGTACGTATGCAAGACAGAATACGCAGTCTGCGGGAGCCCCGACCTCCTGGAAGGTTCCCTCTCGGCCTACCTCCCCGGCCTCAGCATCGCCCCCCGCATCTCCATCCCCAACCCTTGGATACGCTCGTACACCTTCACCGGGCAGGAAGAGTAAGAATCTTCCATTTTGTCAACCTCATGAACAGCCAAACTGAAGCATTTCTGGATAATTTGCTGTCAATCTCCTGAAAAAGGTGGCAGGTGAATCCATCGTACTGCGACACCATCAAGAAACTTTATCCTTACAACTCGGGCAACCGGCTCCTCAACATCATCGACATGTCCATCTTTGACTTCCTTATGGGTATGTTATGATTGTGATAAATGATCTCTTCATTACAACACCCGTATTTATGGTATAGAAATGTAAATCTAAATGAAATGAATACAAGTTAACTCAATGTGCTTCACACAATTAAGAGTATATTTAAAATAATTTACTGATGCATTCATTTTGCAATTTTTTTTTTATTCCAGAGAATTGGTTTTCTGAATGTTTTCAAACATGATCTCATTAAATTACGGTTTGTAGAAATCTTGTGAATGAATATCAATTGTGATGTTTCGTGCCTTCTTTTTTTTTTTTTTTGCAGGCAACATGGACCGACACCACTATGAGATTTTCACCAAATTTGGTGATGAAGGATTTCTTCTCCACCTGGACAATGCAAGAGGGTGAGAGCAAAAATCATTTTCTTTATTCCATTAAAAAAAAAATAATAATTAATGCTGGTATGACCTTATGTGAACGTGTTGCTTTATGTGATCGTAGATTTGGGAAGCACAGCAAAGATGAGATGTCCATCCTTGCCCCATTATCTCAGTGCTGCATGTAAGCAGAATTCCATCGTGTGTGCAAAAACAAAAATGATTTGTTTTCTATTGCACTTGTCCAGAATGAATGAATGTTGATATAGCCAGGATTGTATTAGCCCCCCTTTATTATTCTCCCACAGGATAAAGCGTTCCACCCTCCTGAGGCTCCAGCTCTTGGCCCAACCGCAGTTCAGACTAAGCGACGTAATGAGGGAGTCTCTGCAAAAAGACCCCCTGCAGCCCATCCTAACAGAAGCGCACCTCTCAGCCCTGGATCGCCGGCTCATAAAGATCCTGAGAGCGGTCCAGCGCTGCACGCGCAAGCTGGGCGACAACCGGGTCATCACTGATGACTTTGTTCGAGCCACAGTGAATCCTCGGGCCTACGCAGAGAGCAAAAAGGCCAGGTAGCGGCGGAGGATGGAACTCTACTCCGCTTTTTTTAAGACTTCGTGATGAAGTGCAGTCGTTTCAATTTTAATGGAACAAGTCAGGATTTGGGGGGGTCATTCTCAAAACCTGGCCACAGATGGGGTGTGTTGACTTTTTAACAGCTCCATGTCACACTCTACTGGCCAATGTGGAAAATGAACATATTCCCCCCCCCAAAAAAAAAACGGTAAAGTCACCTTGCAGCGTAATAAATGTGCAAAATAAACAACGCCTGAGGCGGGTTTGAATTCTTTTGACTTTTTTTATTGCTTAAACTGCCATCTGGAACAATCTATACCAAAAAAGGATAAACATCTTTGCAGATATAGGAGGTCAAAATGAATACAGGGAAGAATAGAAAAAGAATGGTCCTTTGATCACCCGCGGGCTCGGAGGACTACAGGTCCCACACGGACCCGCTTGTAGGTCAGAACCAGCAGGAGTGACTGACGACTACTGTAAGCCCAGGAAAAGTTCAGCTAAGGCAAACCGGGACGACTGCGGTGTGGCTAAAACATTTAAAACCGATTGCTGATGTTGCTGCTATTTACACGGAGACAGTAGTCCGACAAAACACCTTCGGCCCTATCGAGAATCGTAATCCTGTGGAGCGGGATGGACAGGAAGTGACTTAAGGACCGCCTGAGCGAAAGGGCGACACGTCGTGAGGATGATCAGGCTGTAATCGGGGTGAAAAAAAAAAATACATTTGTGACTACACTGCAAATCAGCATCACAATGTTCTCTCTTCAGGGAAAAAAAATGACACAGGAATGAAGGTAAGCTGAAATCACTTGGATAGGATACTCATGAAGTAACAAATCGAATATTCAATAACGGTGTCGCTTCTGCACAAAGCTGCTGTTCTCGCGCCGAGGATGTGTCACAACAACATGCCAAATAAGCGCAGAGACCAAATCACAAGCGGGTGAAACGACAGGCAGCGTTTTCCAGTAGGCAACAAAGCAAAAGTCTGAAATAAATAACTCGCTCTTGATACATAAATACCTCAGATGTCCTGAAATAGTTTTTTTTTACACCATTTCATTTAGTTGGGGGAACGGGGAAAAAAAAAACAGGCGGAACCCATTATTACTCAATACAATCACATACTGTTGTGTCGATTGACAAGAAGCATTTATTTACTTTGTGGCACTGGAAAGCTAAAATAGAATTTATGGAAAAATAAGTGTTTACAAAAGACAGAGAAAACCTTTTTTTTTAAATTTTTTTTTTTTAAAGATTATCATCACTCCGAACCATAAATTTAAGAAGAATAATAGTCATTGAGTCATGGATCATTTAACTAGAACATTTTGATTACAAACCATAGCGCATAAATGACCAATTTATTTGGCTTATACTAAAAAACAGAATACTGAAATACACAATACTTTTGTTTGGGGTTTTTTTTTCCCCCCTTTATACATTTTTTTTTCTCTTCAAGTCAAGGTGTTCTACTGATTAGGACAAAAAGGTTTTGAGGGAGAAAAAAAAAAAAAATCCTATTTAACGCTCCAAACAGACGGCGGTAACATTTCATCTCACGGTGTAATAAACATTTGGCACCAGCCTCCAAGCTGCACACTAAAACTCAAAACTTTTCCACGTCTTGACACTGTCTCATCCTACCGCTCGGAAAGCAAAAAAACAAAAAGAAAGGATTCAAAAACGAGCCGTCACGCCTGACTGACATTTGGTGCATTCGTCGTCTCTTATGCTCGTGAGCTCCTGCTGCGTGTCTCTAACGGGACTCGGAAAAAAACATCCGTCTGTAACTAATTCGCCATTTGAGGTTTTTTGATTGTCCTGTCCTTCAGAGCCCAGATCTCCAAACAAATGTTGCTTTGCGTTCTCTGAAAAAACAAAGCGGAACCGGCGGATCTATGACGTAGGTAGCGTGATGCAACTGTGCCTACACGGTAACGTTACAGCAGCTGGTACAAGCGCTGGTGAACGGCTAAAAGTCACCCCCCGGAGGGGGTTGGGGGGGCGGCAGGTGGGTGGAAAAGAAAAGAGGGGGAAACTCAAGAGGAGAAGCAAAGGAGAGGCCAGGAAGTGGCGGAAAGCAACTTGCGTTGGTGGACCCGAGGTCGGAAAGGAGCAAAAGAGGGGGACGGGACGGGGAGGGGGAGTGGGGGAGGTGTAACGCGAGCCCCTTCAGACCGACAGCGAGACGAAGCTGTTGTACTGTTGGATGTTGCGTTTGAGGATGTCCGAACACGGGCCCAGGACGCGCTCGAAGCGAGGCCGGTCCAGCTTGACGCACTTCAGGGGGCCGCGGGCGACCACGGTGGCGGCGCGGGGGCGGTTCATCAGCAGAGCGATCTCACCTGCGTGAAGAACGCAATCAACACGAGGTCAACGCCGACAATATCAAATGTATCATGATAACTCTTAGGAATGTTGCTACTTCTTCCCAACAACGTGAAATGAAAATATTCGCCCGTTAATTACCACCTGCCATTTTGTCATTATTGGGGGAAACCTTGGTCCAAAAAAAAATTATTTTCTTTACCGAAGTAGTCCGATGGTCCTAATCTTCCCACTTCAACAAACTCTTCATTCTCTGAGCGACGCTGCAACACTGCAGCGGAACCCTGAAATATGCAAACACACACGCGTTCAAATTCCATCCAACGCTGAGCACACCATCGTCACTTGAGGCTCTTGTGCGTACTCCTCTTTGGTGGCTGCGAGGGCATTTACCTCCAAAATGATGAAGAACTCATCTCCGGGTTCTCCCTGCACCACAATCTTCTGGCCATCCTCAAACTGGACCGGCTCCAGGGCGTCGGCGACGGTCAGTCGCTCCCACTTGTCCAGGGACTCTGAGAAAAAGCAGGAGAGGAACACGCAGCCATGACACATTACGTTTGAAAAAGAGTCAACTTGCTGGTTATTAGTTTTGTTTTACTTCCTGACTTTTTTTTTTTTTTTTTTTTTTTTAATAACAGGGATTCTCTAAGTGTGGTATGTGGGCTCCCTTCAGTGGTTCGTGAAAGAATCAATCACTCACAAAACACAGCCCGACACTGTGCATCATGTTGCATTAGCTTAGAATGATACCGAAAATGCAACAGGCAAAAATAAGTTCTTCTGCCGATTTCATCTCGACTGTCGATGAATAAAAACGAACCCACCTAAAATCGACACTTTCCTGAGGAATTCCTCGTACATCTTCCTCTTCCTCAAAGTGCTTCCCTGCATTCCAAAAATAAAAGCATCGTTTTGTGAAGATTCTCGGCAACCGCGCGATTTTCTCCCGACGCCTCCTCACCATGAGTATTCTCCTGTAGCTGTCTCTGTCGATGCCCCACAGCTTGACGTTGGTCTTGGCTCTGACGGTGGCGGCCCTCGGGGTGCCGTATATCAACGCCAGCTCTCCGAAGCTGCCGCCTTCGCCGATGCTCGTCACCCATTCGTTGTTCACGTACACCTGCATGATGGAAGCGGAGGCACATTTTAGTCCTGGACGCGTCGCATTTGTGTTAAGATAGCAGAGCACTTCCTGTTTCGCCCGATTTGTATTTCGGTCAACCTTCAGAACTTAAACGGGAAAATACTCACATCCATCTCCCCTTGGTCAATCACGTAGAAATTGTCACCCTCGTCACCTGCGGACAGAAAATAACGAACAACTGACCCTCGCAAGCATGTGCCTCGATTTGATAGTCTTGTCATTTTGGCCACACGATCCTACCCTGCAAAATAACGGTCTCCCCGGCGATGTAGGTGACAGGAAACATGGCGTCGAATATGTCACTGCAAAGAAAACGTTTGAGAGTTAGCCAGTCGCACAAACCTGGAGATTAGTTTTCCCCGCGAGTTGTCTGGACTGATCCCCGCTACGAATCGCAACAATCAGCAAAAATTGACCAAACAAACCCTGTCCGCATTCCCTGCGCCCCAAACATTTGAGGAACTCAAGCTTTTGAAGGAAAATCAAGTTCAAGTCAGGTACCTCCTCTCATTGTCGTCCAGGTGAGAGAAGAGCACATTCTTTTCAATCGCTTTGGCTAAGGCTGCCATTGTCTTGTAGTCCTTCGGAATCACCTGAAGAAACAACACGTGTCACTATGGACTGAAGGAAAAGCTTGTCCCTGAACATCGAAAGCGTTTGGTGTGTACCTTTCTGACATAGGAGGCGGCATCCTCTTCCGTGTAAACCTCGGCGCTGAAGGCGCCCCGCCGCCTGCGGCCCTTCACCACGGGGTTCATGGGAGGGGAGACCTCCTCATCGCGGGAGTCGGAGCGCGAACTGCTGGCCTTCTGCTGGTTCTGGATCTGCTTGGCCTCCTCCTGGCCAGGAGGAGGGATGCAAGAGTCAAAAGACTGGCTTGGCTGCAAAGTTTTGAAAGCTCAGGATTGCCTACTGTATTCCCCAACCGTTCTCCAAAAAGAGAACTGAATATATTGAATATATATCGCACACTTTTTCAGATTATGCGAACTCTTTCTGTCTAGCGGGCAATAACGTGACCAAAAAGGGCTGGTACGCACCTTCTCAAGCCTCTCAAAGTACTCCCTGAGGAAGGCCATAGGCCGGTCGGGCCGGGAGGTGCACAGCTGGACAATGCAGTCTTTCAGCAGCTGTTGAATGTTGTGTTTCTGCACGTACTGCTCGCACTCCCTCAGGCTCCTCTCCTCTTCGCTGCTCGTGCTTCCAGAAGCCATGACGACAATCGCAAGCTTGCTCGATGACCTCTAACCTTGGGAGTACAAGAGAGAGCCAACAGGAAGAGGGAAAGAAAAGCCCAAAAACCAGATGTGGTGAGATCTTCTCAATGCCATAAGAAGTTACAAGATTCAAAATGAGGCATGTGGTACTTTTAGTTTGTATGTGAGAAATGGGGACAAAAATAACAAGAACGTGAGAGAAATGGAACCGGAGCGAGAAGGCGAAGAGACGTTTGGTGTTGTTTAGCAACAGCCCCGAAGACGGTCAGATGATGTCTGCCTTCAGACCGCAACATTTTTCATCTGCTCGAGTCAAGTTTGATGTCACAAAGACTGGCTGTGAAAGTGTGTCATGCACAACGCATGCGCAATTTTGCTTGAAATCAAGTCACACACCAAAAGCGTGACCAGCCTCTCGTTTGAGGTTCCATGTAAACAGAAAACCGCTTCTCGGAAAAGCTGGTCATGATCGTGTGATCAAAGTCTGATATGACAGCGGAGTGCTCAGTGATGGTTTGGACTTTATCAAACAGGAAAGACTCTTAAGTGACGTTTTGAAACTGCAAGGATCTGTAAACCACATGCATCCTGTGGCGGCAAGACTATCGAGCATGTGTGACATTTAAATAAAATTTGAACTACAAATAAATAAGCACAGGCATTTGCATGATGTTTTACATCAGATGGTTAATGTCAGGTGATGGACAAGGCCAAAAATTATATTGTTCACTTTTTCTTTATATTAAAAATAAATACAGTGGTACTTTGTCTTATGAATGACACAACTCTGCTGTTTTTGATGTTGTTGTCTTGAGTTGTGTGACTTTTTTTTAATCACAGTAAATATTAGATGGGTCCCATTAAACTCATCAACGGTTGCATCATCATGCACTTGAATAATGTCAGGTGATACGATGCAACGTATTCAGAAACTACACAATTTACACAAACCAGACACTTGTATACCTGAGACACTTTTTTTAGTCATACGCTTTTATGATTATCAAATGAAATTAATCTATTATTCTTTAGACAGGGAATATATAAAATTCCGGTCGTCAGTTATTTGGAAGAAACAAATGCACAGCTCAGTGACCTTGCTAAACAAGTGGCAGTTGAATATGCAGTATGAAAATAGCGCCGCTGGTGAATGTAAATCTGAAATAAATCCTCCAAAATGAATCTTTGAAGTTAACATTGTGTGCAGTATGCAATGACGTCTAGGTCAGGGAGTGCTGGCCAAAACAAAGCTTGACCAACGGGTGAATGTCACGTATCCTAGATTAGACACTAAAATCAACGTGGTTAGAAATGCTTTACTTCTCCGCCTGGGTAAATTCCACGTTAAAAGCTTGTTCGAGGTTTTGATGTATCGCTTGCTAGCTTCGTGCAAAGGCAAAGCCCTCTTGACGCCATCTTGGGTTCCATCATAAACAAACGCGAGACAAGGGGAAACAAATTTCAGAGGTTATGCCGTTGCATCGGCGAAAGGGAAGAGGAATACTCACAAGATGTCGTGAAATCCTACCGAGCCCTACGACAGAGACTCGGGACGGGTGGTGTTTGTCAAAGCAGTAACCGTTAGCAGCTTCTGCTCTCTTCGATCTTTTTTTTTTTGATCGAGCCCTGGACCGCTGCCCCACCGGATACGCCTGAGAGCCAATCAGCGGCCTTCACTGACGTCAATTCTCCTCGTTCTGACATGTGAGCCAGTAACCCCTGGCAACCTTAAAGGCGCCGTGTCCAAGAGAATGACGTCAAGGCGCTCAACTTGAACTGAAAAAATGGAGAGGGGGGGGAAAAAAAGAAAGCCACATAAGTATAAGTCACGGCGGGTCAGCTAAAGTGATGTTTTATTTGTCAATTCATTAATTAAGAATGAAACATAGTGGCCATGATTAACATTTTTGAGGGGGTGCGTGTCAACGAGTGTGGTGTCAGCTACAACATGTGTGAGTCCATTTTATTCATAGAGCACTATTCACAAATACAAAGTGTTTCACGTAATTAAAATAAGTAGTAACCCACCTCTTAATACCAATATAATGTCGCAATTATATAAATCATTCAGTACGATACAAAAACACAGCAAACTGAGACATGTGTACCATCTGGAACAGTTCGGAAACAATAATAATCGAATAACGTGTCAAAAGTGTTGATAAATTATTAAATTCTCTTCCATTAGATGGACGTTATCAGTAAATCCTAGTCTGCCCTGAGATTTTTCTGATGTAGAATAGTGAATGTGCTTAAATGTTGTAACCGAGAGCCTGGAGCCATTTTGTATAAATAAAAAAAGTATACGGACTATGTGCTATTTGGGTGCTAAAGTGGTGCGCGTTTTTAACGATCCCCTTTAAAGTTTGAAATACAAAGATTTGAAAGATAATGTGCTTTTTTGACGTGATATTTGCACTTTGTTGGAGTCTTGTGACATAGTCTATGTATAAAAAAAAAGCACAGTGCACAGATTGATAAGATTGTTAGCCAATCGCCTCACCAAAACAGTCCATCGATTGTGTCGTTGACCAATCAGTGAATTGCAACGTAATCTTATTCGACTGGCAGTCATTTTGACAAATCACTGACTTGTGTTAAACAAATTTGCCTGCGAAAATCAGGAGGCGGGTCTTATATGGTTCTTCCAGCCAATCGGAACGCACTTTATAGTGACGCTTTCTCCCATCAGTTGTTATTGTTTTGCTGTATGGAGCCTCAAAGTTAATATTCATATAAACAGCAGCGTCGTTGTTTGTCACCGCCAAGCGATACGATCACTATCATTTATCTCATTCACAGTTTTAAGCGATCGGAGGATCGTTCGCTGTCGGTGCTTGCATGCTTACCATCCGGGGCTAGTCCGTCCGGACATTCCTCTCCCAGAGGACTGTGAGCGTGGCGTTTGGAGTCGGGGCAGAGGAGGAGGAGAAAGCGGAGGAGGCCCCGGTGTGGATCGAACCGAGCACGAGGCCTCTGAGCTCGGCCAGCGCGAGGACTGGGGAAACTGGCGGCTCGGATGGATTCCCAGGACGAAGCGGACGGCGGACCCGAGATGCTCCGAGGTTTCATTTGTGCCTCGTTTAATCAGGACACTACGTAAGCAACCTGAGGGCCTTCATTGCCCTGCACGAACGCAAGCTCCTTGACGCACCTGCCTGTTGTATAATCACTTTGATCAACACTTAAGAGATCTATATTTAAATTTAAGAAAAGTCGATTCATCAATTTTCCTCTAAGTCTTAGTCCCTGAGCAGTTTGCCTGTGTTTGCCATAAAGTCCTCCCCAACACCTAAATATTAACTACAGTGCTGTTACACTGCTGATTTTACATGCCTTAACCCATGTTTTCATCTCAAAAAGTATCACATTCAGAGTGCTAGAACAATGAAATGCAGCAGCACCCCTGCCCTCCAAAAAAAAAAAATCCTTTGATAGAAAATAACAACTTGCAATGTAAAAAAACTGAGATAATTACAGAAAATGTCATGCAAATACAGAGTTTTTTATTTTTTGGTAATCATTACAATTCACCTCAGGTCCAGAGAAGCACAACCTCTTCATAAGGTTGCGGGCGTTCCTCCGTTAAATAAAGGTCTTCCTGGCGCTGGTTGTAAAAGAAAGCAGCTGGGCTGCACAGCCTTAACCATCATGTTCTTGTCGTCATCTGTTATGAACAAAGCAAGATTTTCAGAGGTCCAGATGGTACTGCAGGCTGTGTCACAGCTCAGATTTCCTGTCTGACACATGAGTGAATCACACACCCTATGTGAGATCTGTAAACAAAGTAATCAGTGAAGGTAAACCAAAATGATGCGGTTTCAGATCCTTTTGTGTGTATGTGTGTGTTTTAGTTCCCTGTCGGTGGGCACCAAGACCGGCTACCGTCTTTTCTCAGTCACCGCCGTGGACAAACTGGACTGCATCCATGAAGGAGGTGAGAAAAATGCTTCTCCTCATGCATACAAAATCGTTTAGTACATACAATGAACTCCCTCTGTTCGCGCAGCACGGCATTTAAAATGGAGGTAAAGCACGAATACCATGCAGCTAGCATGCACATAATATCTGAAGCCATGTTACATGAACGACAGCATTCAGTAGTGAAATGATCCAACGCAAACGCCGCCTTCACCTGTGGCTCAGAAATCGCGTTAGTGCTTGGATGCTCGCCGAAATAACACGCAGGCTCCCATTGACGTGACATGGGCAAACCAATATTTTCCTCTCACCCCAGTGGAGTGTCCCGATGTGTGCATCGTGGAGCGGCTGTTCTCCAGCAGCCTGGTGGTGGTGGTGAGCCAATCCGTGCCGCGGCGGATGAACGTCTATCACTTTAAGAAAGGTACCGAGATCTGCAACTACAGCTACACCAACAACATCCTCTCCGTCAAGCTCAACAGACAGGTAAGATGGTCGAATCATCGATCGCCCAACCCGTGTTGCGGAGCGGTGAACGGTGTTCCTTGGAATTCGCACCATGTGGGCAAATCGCTGTTGATAGTTCGTAGTTGTCGGCTTTCGCGAGTCAACAAGCGTGGCCGCTAACTTTGCCGTCTGTCTCCCCGTCAGCGACTGGTGGTGTGCCTGGAAGAGTCCATTTACATCCATAATATCAAAGACATGAAACTCCTCAAGACCCTTCTCAACACCCCCACCAACCCGTCAGGTGAGCGCACGTGGTGCTACGAACGAATAGTTTGGTGCTCTTTAAAGAAGGGGACGGCGTGAAAAAAAAAGAACTCCTGTTCCCTCCTTCCCAGGTCTCTGCGCCCTGTCCGTCAACCACGGCAACTCTTTCTTGGCATATCCAGGCAGCGCCACTCTTGGCGAGATCACAGTGTACGATGCAAACAACCTGGTGAGTCCTCATTCTCCGCAATCGTCAAAAGTGACATCGCGGCAAGCGATGGTGCCGAGAGCGTGATTGTTTGCCTTCCGTTTAGAGCACTGTGACGCTGATCCAGGCCCACGCCAGTCCCCTGGCGGCGCTCACCTTCAACGCCTCCGGCACCAAACTCGCTAGCGCTTCGGAGAAGGTGAGTCCTTCTCTTCAACATCTTCCTTCGCACCCACCGGCGTGACCGCCGGCGTCTTGTCTTCCTCCACAGGGCACCGTGATCAGGGTGTTCAGCATTCCCGAAGGACAGAGGCTGTTTGAGTTCCGGCGAGGGATGAAAAGGTTAGCAATCATATCGCCAAAAAACACTTTATAAACGGGCTTTATTAATTCAACTACGTTGTCGTCATACAAGTTACAACACGGATCTTCTAGAGTAGAAGTGTGAGGGATATAACGCACAGCATGACGAACAGCAGCCGGCATTTCCTAGCCCGCTGGGAAAAGGACTTGAGCCGTTTAGCAGCCACCGCTCAACGAAAGGGGGCGGGACCAAGTTCGCTACTGTGGTAGTTTCTCCGTGAGATTTATGAATATACCGACGAGTCGATGAACACGTTTGGCCGTTAATCGATATCTTGGGAGAGGCAATTCAAGTAAATAACAGCGAAGACATTTGCATGGACTTTATCGTGAGGAATGAAAAGATCGTGATGCTCATACAGTTTGTTCCGTTCGGTTGGTTTCGTGAATAGCTGACAAATTGCCCTTCTCCTTTTCAGATACGTTAGCATTAGTTCATTGTCCTTCAGCGCCGACGCGCAGTTTCTGTGTGCCTCCAGCAACACCGAGACGGTCCATATCTTCAAACTGGAACAGCACAGTCCCAGGTAAGAAAAGGAAAATAAGTTGAAAGTAGACTTTACTCCTGTGACTAACAACCTCGCACAGTGCTGGGGCCAGTATCTTCTATTTTGAATCACAAAAATACTTTTGGCTTTCTAGTCAAGAGGAGGAGTCTCCCACGTGGTCTGCGTACGTGGGGAAAATGTTCACAGCTGCCAGCACCTACTTGCCAGCTCAGGTGTCCGACATGATGCATCAGGACCGAGCCTTCGCCACCGTGCGACTCAACACGTTCGGCCTGAAGAACATCTGCGCGCTGGCGACGTAAGACAGAAAATTATTTTAGGTGGGCGGAAAAAAAAAACTGATGAATCTTCATATCCTGTTTTGGTGGATTTTGTACGGCAGGATTCAGAAGCTGCCTCGCCTGCTGGTGGCGTCCTCCGGCGGCCATCTTTACATCTATAATGTCGATCCGCAGGATGGAGGAGAATGTATGCTGGTCCAAAAACACAGGTGTGTCTTCAGTAAAAAAAAAAATTCCACACACAAATCACCAAGCAATTACATGTTCATCCACTAGAGGGCAGACGTTTGCGCATAAGATTCAGAGTAGATTTAGAAACAAACACCGATTAAGAAAACATTGTACCTATTACCACATTAACTTGGTGTCTGCACGGGACCCGGCAGGTTGTTCGATGGCAGCGAGGAGCAGGTGGAACAGAAAGAAGACGAGACGCCAGTAGAGGTCTCCAGTCAACCAGCCGGCCAATCATACGCAGCCACCGTCGCTCTTCCCTCCAGCCCGCCCTGCTCGACCACACTCTTGGGTGAGTTGGATGGGAATTGAAACTTTTCAGGATTTGGGGGGGCCCTGACCTCAATCAACAAACTCATCTGGGCCTCCTTTCTTCAATTCCCAGGATACTCGGAGGACGGGGGAGCTCAGAAGGGGGACGTCATCCCAGAGCACGAGTTCGCCGAGGGCCCCGTGTGTCTGGATGACGAAAACGAATTTCCTCCAGTCAGTAACTAGATAAACTCTCAAAGCCCCCCACCCCCCTCACTACTGATCCCTCACTATTGGACGTAGAGAGAATGGGAGGTGGGTGGGGGGCACTATGAACACCAGCCGCTTCCTCCTTCCACACATACCCCTGCAGGTCAAGGGGACTAACCCTACCAGAAAGTCCCATCCGGGTGTTTTGGGATTCTGTGTAGACCTACAAACACATTAACAAGGAGCGGACATTTTACTCAATAGGAACATCTCACATTCTGTTTTCGACAAAGTCTACCTTATCACGCCACAAAATACGGTACAGTGTTCGAATTTGGGAGTGACGTTGCCTCAAGTGTCGAAGGTTGGAATAAATGAATACTGTCAGACATTCCCAGGGGGGGAAAAAAAAAAAGTCATTTATAATTTTAGGAAAATACATGGTTTATATAGAATGAAGTTCATTGCTTGATAACATTTTTTTTAAATGGACATTTATAAGATGAACGTAAAATTGGATTTGATTTATGATAAATCATTTATGAAAAGAAATGTTTAGGAGAGAAGAGTTGGCCTTTTACGAGAATCAAGGTTTTGTTTTTTTCCTTTCGGCGTGGCCCTATTAACATTTTACACTTAGGTTTTGGCACAGCCACAAAATAACAACTCAATCGTTTGACTGGAGTATTTTTTATGATTTTATTATTGATTTATGATTAGATTTTTTTTTTATGATCCACAGTTCTGAGCGGTATAACCATAATGTCATCCAGGGAGCATGCATGCTGTAAAGTGCAGACGACGCAGCCCAGCTACACCCCATAGCACAAAGCCGGCAGGGGGGGAAAAATAGCTTTTGTGTACAAGAATCCTGCTGAAAACAAGCCAAAGGAAGCATGTGGAAACCTCCTTCTTGGCGGTTGTTATGTCTAGTCTTAATTAGGATTTTTTTTTTTTACATTTCTACGCAAAAGGCTTCTTGCAAAGCGTGCATTGTTGCAGTTGAGCCTGCTTGATAGGGTAGTTTTTGTTTTCGCACAAGATCGACCAGAAGGGTATTTCCATTTGTATTTTTCATCAACAAAGCCTCACAGTATGAGTCGCCATCACCTCCAGATAAAGAGTATTTCAAATGAGAGCATTTAAATCATGCACTTTTTTTTTTTTTTTTTTTTTTTTTTTACGGATAACGCTACGATTAACGATGCAGCTGTGATACTAATTCTGGTAGCGAGTGTAACATGAGAAGATATGTGAAGGAGCCAGTGGTTAAATGTGAAACTCTTTAACGGCGCACGACCAAGTGACAAGACAGGTCCTTGAATTTCAATATGGTTATTTTTGATGATGGGGAAAAAGTTTTACACGTTAACGCAAACTGACCATGCAGACCTATATTTTCTTTTTTTACTTTGTGTAAAATGTGTATGTAAATCGCATTCACTACTCACCAAAAAGTTTGAAGTACTGGGCTTCCTGGTGCAGCCTGCTGATTGACAAGTGATCACGTGCTGGTCGATTCACGGATAAAACAGCTGTTTGGAATTTTGCATTTCAGTTCCTTCTTACAGACGAGCAAGTTGTGCAAAAAAAAAAATTTTGAATTTTGCCAAAAGGTGGTGCTGTTGAGACACCTTACACTACATTGCATACTGACAATGAAGAAACAATAAAGCTGATTAAGAATCAATTCGCTCTGAATATTATTTGGCTATCGCGTGTTTTTTGTGGGGGAGGTTTAAGGAGAATGGGGACTTTGCAAAAAAAAAAATCACATTTTGTCACGTGTTCAGTCATGACCTGACAGGAGTGCATGATGAATGCCCAACAACCGACAAAACAAATATTTTTCTCTTTGCTTTATTGATCCGACAGGCAACTGGCCTCCCTCTGACCTTGTGCTCGCCGCCCGCTCCTCTTTGCTCTGTCTGTTTACTTGTTTGTTCGCACGCCTCCTTGTCGCATCTGGACATTGTACCCCCCAAAGAGCACGGCGGTCCACACTGACTTCCCGAGTGCGCATTCAAACTGCAAAATGTGCGTCTGCATTGTTGTCCATGAAGGCTTCCTGCTGTCAGAACAGTCAGAGGCAACGACAAACGGGCCGCGTGGGCTCACAGCAAGGCGTGGCCGAGTCGTCCGTGGTGTAGTCGGCCTCGGACACGGATGGGTCGGTGGCGATGTCCCATAACAACCCCTCCCTCCAGAGGGCAACCCTTTCGGCTATCACTTGGTATTCAGGTGTTCCGACCTTTAAGGGTGTTTCTTCGGCCTCATCACGTTCTAAGTCAAAAATCAACGGTGGGTCGTGGAGCTGCTGTGTCCCTACGTCACCGCCACATGCTTCAGATGAACCTAAAACATGCACACGTGGGGGTTATTAGAACAGTATAAAACAGAATGCCCTCTTGTACAACATGAAGAGGTCAAGTCATTTTTTTGCGGATTTGGAAAGACAAACATCGAGTTTTAATTTTTTGAGTGTTTATTTTGGTGGAGAAAAAAAAAATACAAAATGAGCTCTTGCACTGAATGTTCATTTCTTGCTCAGCAGTTTTGTGCCATCCTTGAACGCTCATTTTTTGCGCAATTGTCCAGCACATAATGATGCAGATATCCCCATTCAAGCAGAATGAACGCAATTGCGTGACAGAAGAAACACAAACATGGCGCGATGCCCGTGCTGACAAACTGTGGCGAAATAGGAGACGTGCGTGCCACCTACCTGTCATGTAGAAAGCTTTGTATTTCCCAGCTCGCACTGCCTGCAAATCACCAAACCGCCCCGCGGCGCCACTATTAGGATGGAAGAGCACCTAAAAAAAAAACCCAAAACAAACTGATCATTATAACAGCTCAAACTGGCACTTGCTTTCTTAGCACCTCTTAACCTGTTCAACTTGTTCCTCCTCGCCAACTCCGGCGCCGAGCACATTTGTAACTTAAGCATGGCTCTTAATTGGGAGGAGGCATCGTGTTAGCTTGACGCATTTTATGATCAAATGCTAATCTCTTGAGATCTGAATAAGTCACGACTGCATTGTGGATTTTGTAGACAGTGAGCCCTGTTACCTTGTGGCCAGTCTGTTCACCGCCGAGGAGGACGCTTGTAACATCTGTGCCATCGTAGCGCCGGTCAGAAGGTGGCGTCACCCCCGCCAGGGAGAGCAGCGTGGGGAAAATGTCCATCCCGCTGTGAAAATATTTCTCTGTTTCTCATTAGGGACGTCATTTATTTTCCGAGGAACGCAGGGAAAGTACGCGTGCCATTTGTCAGTCAAAGAAATAGTTTGTGTGCCGCAGTCAACAATGGGAACAGGATGCCAGCGTGGTTTCAAGTCTCAGAGGAATTTACAATTGAAAGAACATGCCTGAGCAAGGCGGCACTAGTCGTGTTTGCAGGGATCACACCGGGCCAGCAGGCCACCGACGGCACTCGGTGGCCTCCTTCCCAAGTGGTCTTCTTAGCTGAACTCCCACCTAGCAAAAAAAACAAAAAACATTCTCAAACTCCTCATTCCATCAAGTGTTTCATATTTGTCTGTTTTTTCAGACTCCACACATTCAATCCCAGGTACTTTTCAAGACTTCGGTAAAAAAAGAGGGAATTCCGAGATGGAAGGAAGGCTTTTCATTACGTAAATAGCTACTAGCTCAAAAAATTTCACAAATTAGGTGTTCCACCTCTTTTGGTCTGCCATTTTCCTTTGAATGGTCCTGTACTTCCCGCATACTGGCACTTCTTCTCCCAGGGACCGTTGTCACCTACATGCGAGAGAGGCTTTTCAGATTGTGGGTGTGCCCGGATGCGGACAAACCGGTCACAGTCGAGGAGCGCAAGGCTTACCAGTGAACCAGATGAGCGTATCATCTTTGTTTGAGGCACTCCGGATGGACCCCACCAGGCGATCCATTTCTTGCAGGCTTGCAGCGTACGCTCGGCTGTGAGGTGGCGAAGGGGTGGCGTCGGACGCGAGCGGCGGGGCCAAGGGTACGTGCATGTGAGCTAGCGCTATGTAGAGAAAAAAGGGCTGTCCTCGCTCTCTGCAAGTACACGTGGGACAGAAAAGACGATTAATGTCGACGCAGGTTGCAGTTTAGATTGAAAAAAAAGAAATTCTAACATGTAATGTAAATGCAATCGCACAGCATCAGCTAGCATTGTTCAGTGAGACGTCTCAACTCCTCTCTCAGCTCATCGGTACAGCACTAAAAATCAATTGCTCTGTGCGGAGGATAAAGAATATGATCGGGCATGCTCTTGTATTGTCTGTCTACGTGTGCTGCTTTATGATGTTGTTTTATGTTTCGTTTGACAGTGAACTTCAACGGCCGCTAGTCACACTCCATCGGTATCACATAATCGTACTCCTGGCGAATGCGCTGCACGCAGGCTGGAATACGAGTATTTTCGTGGCCGCCACTGAAATCTTTCCCGGGCGAGTGCGCTGCACGCAGGCGGGAATACGAGTTTTTTCGTGGCCGCCACTGAAATCTTTCGCACGACCTTGAATTTTATAACATGTTTATTCTCACGAGACAGCTGCGGACCAGCAGGGCTGGCGCTCCTCTCGCACACAAAAAACGACACCAGCGCCGAAGAATTTAGCAGCTTCGCTCATGTTCAACCTCAAGATGATTTGCACGCGCTTTACCTCGCCTCGCGCATCGTTCTCAGCGCGGCAGAGCGGTACTGTCGCGTAAGATTCCACAGGTTGAGCGGCTGCTCCACAACGCGGCTGTTTTCCATCAGAGGAAGGCCCACTTTGGAATAGCAGTCCGTCTGTTGGCGCTCACTCCCCCGCAATCTACGATAAAGAATAACGGCATGCATAATGTAGAAGGTGCGCAGACCACACGGGGCGAATCGGCTTTTGCAGCTAACGTGCTCGACGACAGATTACATGAGATTCGGCGGCGCAGGAAGACAACAGTGAATGTACTACCAACTGTCTTATTGTCATTTGTAAAAAAATTGTCATGAGGAGACTCGGGTGAACTTTCGGTACACAATGCAACACAGAGCTCAATTCATGAGATTGAAATCAAATACTTGCAAAACCACACTCTGGATTATTTTGCTTGCAAAATCAAGCCCCGCCCACCTCATGATTTGCGCTCCAGAAGAGTCACAACCGAGGCACTGGGGAATATCATATCCAGGGTTGTCGGTGCATCCCATATCATTGCTGAAGGGAATTCCCAAGTAGTAGTCGAAACCTGTTCAAGAGACAAGAAACGGCTCCATTTTCTGTCTTGTGCTCCCGAAATTGATCAATTCGCCTTGTCAAACCACATAATTAAACTGTCGGTCGCCGACATTTCTACTTCCTGAAAAACATTCCCAAGAACACGAGTTGACTGAGAATTCTATCGCACTGTGTTTATCTGCGCCCTTTAAAAAGACTGTATTTTTGGGCTATATTAAAGTTCATCAACGATGAATCGATTGAACTGTTACTTTTCAAATCCAATTTTGCGTTCTTTACATGCGGTTGATTTTCCATTTTGAATGAACCCGCAAGGCCGTCACTGGTCACATTTGTAAATTATTGATATGAAACCCAAAGCACTGAGGCTGGAAAGCAGCATCTGGAAAGAGGAGCAGTGAAGGGGGCGGGGGGCGCGG